ACGCAGTGGCTCACACCTGCAATACCAGCACTTTGGGAGGCCAAGGCAGGAGAATAACCTGAGGCCAGAAGTTCAAGACCAGCCTGGGTAATATAGCAAGAGCCTGTCTCTATAAAAAAAATTTAAAAATTAGCCAGGTGTGGTAGCATGCGCCTATAGTCCTAGCTACTCGGGAGGCTGAGGCAGGAGGATCGCTTGAGCCCAGGAGTTTGAGGTTGCAGTGAGCTATGACGACACCACTGCACTCCAGCCTGGGAGACAGAGTGAGACTCTGTCTCAAAATAAATAAATAAATAAAAATAAAAAATGGTCAGATATCTAAACAGCAATATACAGAGAATAAGACAAAGGAGACTTACACACGAAACTCTGAAGGAAAATAACGACTGGGATGCCATGCCCAGTTAAAACATCAAATGACATCATCAGATGTGCAAGGTGCCTCAGAATTGGTTCTTTCTCCTTTTTTAAAGATAGAGAATGTATTCCCCAAACAAGAGGGTAAACTAAGAGGAAGGCAAGGGATACCGGAAGCAGGAGACCTAGCACAGAAAGCCAAAAGATGACAACCACCCCTAGACAAGGAGGCTGTCAGTCTGGACCAGATCCAAGGACCCAAGAGGTAGACACACTTGGACTGCCATTGTCCTAGATTCACTGCCACAGCCTCCATACCCCAGTCCCTGGACCAGCTGAGGGTACTCACTTCATTCAAAGACAGGCCCTGCTTTGACCTGCTCCTGGGAGCTAGAGGCAGGTCATGAGAACTCAGAAACAGAAAATCCAGGGCACCCCACTCCCCCAATCACATGCCTGCAGATATCTAGTCTTTGTCAATTGCCCCAACCATATTTCCCAGGACCCACTCATGACCTTACCTAAGACTGCCCCAAAAGGGACCTTGAAAACTCTCAGGAAAGCCAAGGCTGACCACACCCCAAAGACCATTTGGTGCCCTTGCCTGGCAAGCCTTCGGCCAGTCAGGTTAGTGCCACCCTTCCCTTACGCAGCCAAGGTTGGGACTTCCCAGTTTACCCAAAGTAAGCAATCTATGGTTTAAGGCTTCACACATAGGAGGCAGAACTGCAAAGAAAACCGAGGGAAGCATATACTGAATGATTCCATTCATATGGCATTCTGGAAAAGGCACAACTCTAGGGACAGTGGTTAGCAGGGGTTGGGGGAAGGCAGAGGAGTGACTACAAAGGAGCAGGGGAGCATTCTGAAAGGTGACGAAACCTTTCTCTAACTTCATGGTAGTGGTAGTTATACAACTATGTGCATTTGTCCAAACTTGGAGAACTATACACTTAAAAAGTGAATGTTACTGTATGTAAATTATAACTGAATGAGAAAATATTTTTTTAATTTTTTTAAAAGAAGAAGAAAGGGCCAGGCACAGTGGCTCATGCCTGTAATCTCAGTGCTTTGGGAAGCCAAGGCAGGAGGATCACTTGAGGCCAGGAGTTGGAGACCAGCCTGGGCAACATAGTGAGACCTCATCTCTACAAAAAATTTAAAAATTAGCCAGGCGTGGTATTGTGTGCCTGTAGTCCTAGCTACTCAGGACACTGAAGCAGAAGGGTCACTTGAGCCCAGGAGTTTGAGGTTGTAGTGAGCTACCATGATGCCACTTGAACTCTACCTGGGACAACATAGTGAGACTCTGTCTCTACAAAAAAAGAAAAAGAAGAAAGAAAACCAAAAAAAGTATTAACTCAGGTCAGAAATGACAGTTACGGCTGCCAAGCTTCTGCACATGTTCTAGTTCTTAACCTTAGTGGTAGGTGCACAGAGGTTCACCATTTATCATTACTCTCTACAATACAAATGTTTCTCATTTACTCTTCTGTATCTAATATGTTTCACAATATAACATTTTAAAAATATTTAAAAGTCTTAGCACAGGGCCTGGTACACACTTACCCACAATAACCTTAGGCTTAAGAAAAGTATTTTAAGTCTTTCTGTGTGCAAGTTAAGGCAACACATAATCAATTTTAGAAGCAGAATTTCTAAAGCCAACTGATAAGGAAGGCACTAGGATTCCCCGGTATGAGAGCTTCTATCCCATAGAATCAGGCCTGACACCTTGCCCAACCCTTTGAAACCTTATAACCAACCCTAGCAGCTGCAGAAATGAGGGAGCCATTCAAAGCTCTCCACGATCAGGATGTACCCACTACCTGCCCTTCCACAGTAGAATAAAGTAGAAGTCTTAAACTCTTGAATAGTATTTGATGTGACAGAAATAAAGAAAATTGCACAGATTATCAGAGGAGAGTGAAAAATAACTCCTCTAAGAAAGGTTATACATGCATTTCAAATCAATGTTTACTATATGATTAGCTCAATCTCTGAAAATGGAGAAAGCAAAACTCTAAGATTGCTATATCGAAAGAAAAATAATGCTTTTTGAATGGTTGTAATATGTATCTTGACCAGGGAGCATACAGATTTTTAAACACTTTATTTACACTATATGTGAACTTAATTTGTTTTAATTAATAAAACTAATTAATAAGTTTTAATTAATAAAACTAAATGGCTTTTAATGTTTTAACACTGATGTGCAATGAATGAAGGGTTATCTGCCACCAACGTTAAACTATCCCAACTTATTCAAGATTGTGGGTAAAAGATGGTAATAATATATAATACTACCGGGTAACACAGCAGAATGACATCTCTAGTAATTCCTTTTTTCCAGAGGACTTAAACTTCAAATAATTTGGAGAATATTGTTTTTATAGGTTCTATTTTGTATTCTTTTCTTTTTGTAATTACTGGGATATTATGATGGTTGTAATAAAGATTATATGGCAGTATTTAAAAAGTGTGCCTCTGATCCCTTAATGCCCCCCCTACCTCTACGTGAGAGACTCCTCATCTCTCCAGGCCTTATTTAAATGTCCCTCCTCTGTTCCCGGAACACACAGCTATAAGACAGACATCCCATTACAACACATTCTCTGTACTCCCAACAGTGAAGCCAGTACCTGGCATGTTAAGAGTCAGGGACACCAGTAATTGTGAAATTGTGGGAAAACAGGCTGAAGAACTATTGAGCTATTGAACTACTTCTTGCATCCCTCTCCCTTTGCCTGTCAGTCCAGCCCCGAGCTTAGCTCCTTGCCATGAGCGAGGGAGGTCTCAATGCCCTCTCACTGGGGCCTGGGGTCCTCCCCACACAGAGACCTCGCAGAGATGAGACTTCTCAGAGGCAACTGGAGGAATAGAGCCACGATCTGAGAGCCAAGGGCCAGAGTCTTGGGTTCTAGGTCCAGCTCTACACGAACTCGGAGTCTTCCACACACCATCAGTCTCAGTTTTCCCTCCCACAAGGTGGAAAAGAACAGCTCACCTCTCGCTCTCAGAGTCGCTGGAAATCTCCTCATTCATCTTGCCGCCACCCTTGGATTTGCCCCTGTCCCCCGCAGAGTCGGCCTGGGAATTATAGGATCCTTTCTTTGGTCACAGGTGCCGAACATCCTGGCACTGACCAAAGGCCCCTTTGGTCCCTCAAGAGCCCCAGGACTAAGAAAGGCGGTGGCTCCCGGGTCAAGAGCAAGGCTCTCCAGGGTATGGCCCGCGGAGAGAGGAACGAAGCTGACTCCAGCTGGTGTCCCGGGCGAAGGGCTGGGGAAGGGCCCAGACCTGGGTCTCTCGGATGGGATGACTGTTGTCTCAGTAGCGGGACTGACCGTGGCCCATGGAAGCGCCATGCTCACCTTTCTCCGTCGCTTGCTGGCCCCTGCGCTGGCCCCGGAGGCCGACTTTCCCCGCTTATGAGCTACCGCCGTTGCAGACATGCTGCCTACCGTGTGTGTAGCAGCCACCGCCGGAGAATTCACGTGGCTGCTAAACCCGCGCGGCTTGGCAAGACCCCGGGCCCTCATAGGCTACCACGGCCCGGCGGGCCCCGCCTCCCACTACTCCATTGGGTTCTTCAGCAGGCTGTGTCACGCCCCCAAGCGCCCATAGGATAGATTCTTGTGGCCGCGCCTCCTAGAGCTCCTATAGGCTCCAGTGCCAGGCTCCAGTAGTAAGCTAGCGTCTCCACAGCGCTTCCGGCCTGAGACTGTGGCGCATGCGCTCTACTGCTGGCCGATTTCTAGGGAGGGTCGGAACAAGAGAGCCTTCTCTGTGTTTGCGCCCCTTGGCCGCTAGGGGGCGCCAGAGATGCGGGGTTCCGCGTTCCAGGCGTGACTCCCCGTCTTGGACCAGGGCGAAAATAAACTAGCCTGGCGCGGGACAACAGGGTGTTCCAGGCACCCAGGCAGCCGTGAGAAGAGCGAGGCAGTGCCTTGGGCCCTAAATGTGTCCACATCGAGTGTCCACCCGTCCGTCGGACAGGCCGCCCGACCTGGCCTGCACCAGCCCCTGACTCACTCACAAATAGCTGGATTTTTACCCCCTACCCAAGCTCTTCCTCAGGCCTCTGGCGACAGTTGGGAATTCCCTCCCTGAGTCACGCCTAAGGCTCACAGAGGGTTGCTACAGGAGGCCTCAGACCTGGGACTGCCCTGGGAGGCTCACACTGCCAGGTTTGGTGGCAGTCACCTTTCCCAAGTCCCCGTTTCTCTTAGGTGAGTGTTCTAGGCTCCTGCTCAAAGCCCTGGGCAGGGCAGGGCAAGACCTGGTGGGACCTGGTCCCCTGCCCTCTGGCACTTCAAAGCCACTGATTTGGAAGCCTGGCTGACTCCCTAGAACTCGCAAGTCCATTGGGAAAGGCTTTTGCACCACTGAGTTCTAAGCTCTGGAGGGATAGATTAGTCCCCAGGAGTCCTGCCACTAAGAGCTGCTGGCCACCATCCCCCACAGCTCTGGTGACAGCCCAGCAACCATACCAGGTCAAAGCTAGCTGGCAGACGGGGAAGAGTAGCCAGCGAGCATTCTGGACAGGAAGGAGCCCAGAAGTGGGAGGGAGAGATTCTCCTTTCACTTTCCCTATCACCTCATGACACACTGGAGAGCTGGAGAGGGTAGGGAGCCCGACTCTTCCTTGACCAGAGTGGACAGAGTCCTGAACCTGCTCTTATTCCTGGAGAAAGGGGCATATCTGAGGTACAGAGAGACCAGTTTGGTCTGGGGCTGGGAATGGGGACAGGGTAGGCAGGGGAAGCAGTGGGAGGCCGCCAAAGGGCAAAGGGCAAACCCAGGGTGGGGCAAGTTGGTGTTGTGCGGGGGGGCGGGGGGGGGCCTGCGTGGTGATATGTGAGGGGCCACAGATGCCTGAGGGCCCCTTCTGTGCCCCAGGACAGCATGGCTCCAAAGCGCAAGCCCTCGGTGCAGACTAAGGACCCTGAAAAGAAGAAGAAGCGGGGACCAGGGGAGGAAGACACATTTCGCTCCACTGCCGAAGCCCTCAGGGCTGCACCTGCAGAGAAGCGCGTAATCCGTGTGGACTCCACATGTCCACTCAGGGGCAACCCTGGAATCAGGGCGAGCTGCAGCCCCCAGTAGAGCCCAGAGCCTGCTTCCTCACAGTACACATCCGGCCCTGCTCCCCTCCCACTTGGGGCTCAACTCTGGCCAAGTAGCTCAAGGCCCCCAAGTAAGCTCCAGAGCAAGGCCATGTTCTCCTGACCCCAGAGGTCAGGGCTGTATCCCATCACGTCCAGGTAGGTCATGACTGCCCTTCAGACCCCAGGCAGGCCTCCCCGGACCACCCTTAGGGAAGGGCTGTGACTCCTTCAGGGGCTCACCCATGTCCCCTCAAACCAGCCTCTCAGGGCAGAGCCAAATCCCCCTCAGATTCCCCTCTGTAGGGCACGGCTGTGGCCTTCCAGAACTCCCCACACCCCTATGCCAGGTTAGCCATATACTCTCAGACTGCATCCCCTAGAGCAGAGCCATGACCCCGCAAGCCCTCCCCAGTGCAGTCAGACTCCTGTCCTCATCGGAGCCATCTTGGCATGCAGCCAGGCACCCCGTCCAGTGCCAGCCGGCCTGCACCCGCCTCTGGCACAGGTGTACGAGGACTATGACTGCACTCTGAACCAGACCAATGTCGGGAACAACAACAACAAGTTCTACATCATCCAGCTGCTGAAAGAGGACGACCACTTCGTCCGCTGGAACCGCTGGGGCCGTGTGGTGAGTGCCCCGAGCCTCAGCCACCTGTGCCCACCTCCTCTCCACCTCTTCCGCTCAACACATGCTCCCCAGTGTCCCTACAAGGCCATAGCTGCTGACTGTTCCCCTCAGCTCTGTCCATGGGCACTTAGCACAGGGCCTGGCCCAGCCCAGAAGCCAACAAACGTGTGGTGGGCACTGCAATGGGCACAGCCCTGAAGGTTGTCAGTTGCAGGGAGAGATGGGCCAGTTGAAGATCAAACAGTTCAAAAAGCTAGAAGATGCAAAGAAAGACTTTGAGAAGAAATTTCAGGAGAAAACCAAGAACAACTGGGCAGAGCGGGACCACTTTGTGGCCCACCCTGAAAAGTACACACTTATCGAAGTGCAGGGAGAAGACGAGGCCCAGGAGGCTGTGGCGAAGGTAAAGTAGCCAGGATGGGTGGCTGGGCCCTGGGCTGAGGGAGGGAACTGGGTGGAAAGACCCAGCGGGTTGGGCTCTGCTATCGCCCAGCTGTGCAGCCAGGGCACAGACCTCCCTTCTCCAGCCTCTGTCTAATGCCACACACTGCTGCAAGAGCGAGTGCCCTGCCCAGCTGCTCCTGCCCATGTGTGCCCTATCCCCAGGTGGACGGAGGCCCAGCAAGGACTGTGGCTAAGCGGGTGCAGTCCTGCTCCCTGGACCCAGCCACACAGAAGCTCATCACCAACATCTTCAGTAAGGAGATGTTCAACAATGCCATGGCCCTCATGAACCTGGGTGAGAGGGGAGGGGCCAGGCAGGGTGGCAGGGGCCCCAGGGTGGCAGGGCCACAGGGCTCAGTCCCCCCACTCCCCTGTCCCCCCAGATGTGAAGAAGATGCCCCTGGGAAAGTTGAGCAAGCAGCAAATTGCACAGGGCTGTAAGGCCTTGGAGGCACTGGAGGAGGCCCTGAGAGACCCCACAGACAGTGGCCGAAGCCTAGAGGAGCTGTCCTCCCACTTCTATACCGTCATCCCACACAACTTCGGCCGCAACCGACCCCCGCTCATCAACTCCCCTGAGATTCTGCAGGCCAAGAAAGACATGCTGCTGGTGAGGGCTGGCAGAGGGCAGGTAGGCAGAGGGGGGACCAAACAGCCAGACTGGGCAAGGGGAATGAGGGACTGATGGCCAAGGCCCAGAAGGCTGGACTTCGATGGGCAGGCTGGAGGACAGGGCAGGGAAAGGCCAGGCAGATAGACGAACAGGTGGGGTAGCTGCGGTACCCTCACGTGGAGAGGGGAGGGGAGGGAGGCCAGAGGTCAAGTGGGAAGACAAGTGGCCAGTGCCCATCATCCTAGGTGCTGGCAGACATCGAGCTGGCCCAGACCCTGCAGGCAGCCTCTGAGGAGGAGAAGACAGTGGAGGAGGTGCCACACCCTCTGGACCGAGACTACCAGCTTCTCAAGTGCCAGCTGCAGCTGCCGGACTCTGGGGCGCCTGAGTACAAGGTGGGCTGGGCCCCACAGAGGAGCCAGGCTAACAGTGGGCACCGTCTCTCTGCCCACCTGCCTTCGGGGTGCCCAGAGGAAACCTCGCCCTCAGCCTTCCCTCCCCGTGACTCCAGGGCCTGAGGGGAGCTCTGGGACTAGGGGGACTAGAGGGGGATTAGTCCCCAAGCCTCCCACCCTTGGTGCCCAGCCTCTGCTCTCCTCCCATAGGTGATTTGAACCTACTTAGAACAGACTGGCAGCAGCCACAGGTGCCCTACTCTTCAACATGTTTGGAAAGTGAACCGGGAAGGGGAGATGAGGGAGACTCACCTGACCCCTCCCCCATCACCACTCTGTTCCTTAGGGAGATACCCTTGGCTTATCCGCCCCTTGGCAAATGGCTTAGCAACTCTAGTTTCTGCCCGGCCGGGAGTGTGTGTGAGTGACCAGAGGGGCCCTAGGCCTTGGTCGTCCCATCTGAGCAGCAGGGAGAGGTGCCTGAGCTGTTGGATGGCTATAGTCTCCCATTTCCCACCCTTCCCCTACTCAGGGAGACAGGTTCCAGGACCACTCCAAGTTGGATAATCGGAGGCTGCTGTGGCATGGCACCAACGTGGCTGTGGTGGCTGCCATCCTCACCAGTGGGCTCCACATCATGCCACATTCTGGTGACCACGTTGGCAAGGGCATCTACTTCGCCTCGGAAAACAGCAAATCAGGCGGCTATGGTGAGGCGCACCCCCTGGGCCAAGCCCTGGGCGGGCATGGAAGCACTGAGGTGGTTTGGGCCCGGTCCCTGCCCACTGGAACTCACGGTGGATCCAGGAAAGGAACCCCTAAGTAGTTACAGACCAGAGTGCTCAGTGGGGCATCCTGGGGCTTGAGGGGACTCAGAGGAAGCACCTGGTGGTCAGGGACAGCTTCCTGGAGGAGATGATACACATAGGATGAGCGCACCAGCCAGACCTGGGAGGGGGTAAAAAAGGAGACTTCGAGGCCAGGGAGGGACATAGAGGCCAGGGGCTGTGGCAGACCAGGACTTCCAAGCACTGCCTGGTACTGAAGCTCAGAGCAGTAGTGCCTAATGGGGCAGGGGGCTTGGGGGCCCTGGATGATCAAGTGGGCCTTATCCAGACAGCAGTGGGGAGCCCAGGTGGACTTGTCCGTAGCAGATCTCAGTGGCTGCAGCTGTGGAGAGGAAGGCGGGGGCTGAAAGCTGCAGGGAGGCCGTGCTGTGAGCCAGGCCAGATGTGACGGCACCCGGCCCAGGGCTGTGGAGGGATGTGTAGGTGGGATGGGCAGTATGTGGGAAAGGGTCAAAGGTGTCTCCAGCAACTTCTGAGTGTCTGGTTAAGGGTGTCCTCACTGAAGTGACTTCCCCAGATGGGCTCCTCAGCCCAGGCCGACGCAGAGAGCTTGGTCCAAGGCTCCATCCAAGGACAGATGGGACTGAAATTCTAGAATATCTGAGGATGCCAAGACCAAGGGGTCCACAGGAGAGTAGAGCAGCCTAAGAAAGAGTGTTGGGCTGGGAGGCTCAGGACAGTCCGCACAAAGGGGTCCCAAGGTCAAGGCTGAGGATGCCAGGAGCAAAGTCAGCAGAGCAGGCCAGGGAGAAAAGCCCCCTCCCCGGGTTTGGTTACTGGGAGGCCACTGCTGACCTTGGTGCGTACAGCAGAGGGTGCAGAGGCCTGGCCACAGGGAGCAGGGTGAGGTGGAAGGGAGCAGGCCGGGACGGGGGAGGGGGAAGGAGGGTTACTGCTGGAGGAGTGTTAGCTTTCTCTGGGCTGGGCAGCAAAGCCAGAGAGATCGCATTGGCGCAGAGAGGGGCCCTGGGAGTCAGGCAGGAGGAGGGCCGAGTGCCACCCTGAGCCTCCCCGTGCCTTCCAGTTACTGGCATGCCCTGTGGGGCCCACCACATTGGCTACATGTTCCTGGGCGAGGTGGCACTGGGCAAAGAGCACCACATCACCATGGATGAGCCCAACTTGATACATCCGCTCCCTGGCTTTGACAGTGTCATTGCCCGAGGCCTCACAGAGCCTGGTGAGTTCTGAGAAGCAGGACATGCCTAAGGATAGAGATGGGGCTGAGCTAGGGGATCGGGACATTTTTAGGGAGGAGGTGAGCTGGGAGAGGGCTGTGGAGAGAGACAAAGAGAAGCAGCCTTCCTCACTGTAGTCATTCACTTTGTCATTCAACAAACATCCACTGATTCAGCAAATCATTCTTGGGCACCCAGGAGGACTTGACAGAGAGGTGCTGTTGATTGAGCATTGAAACATGAGTAAGAGTTTCTCAGAAATGGGAGAGGATCTTCCAGGCAGAAGGCCTAGCCTGTGCAATGGCTTGGAGGTACGCAAGGTAGGAATGAGCAGGCGTTGCCCATGGCAGAAGTGGAGAGCAGAGGGGGCAGGACTTATTCGTAAGGTCAGGGACCAGTGACCCCTGGGTCACCCGTGGCCCTTGCTGTGCCCTGCAGATCCGACCCAGGACGCCAAGCTGGAGCTAGATGGCCAGCGAGTGATGGTGCCCCAGGGCTGGCCCGTACCCTGCCCAGAGTTCCGCAACTCCACGTTCTCCCAGAGCGAGTACCTCATCTACCAGGAGAGCCAGTGTCGCCTGCGCTACCTCCTGGAGGTTCGCCTCTGAGCTGCCCATGCTGCCCCCACCGGTCCTGCTAGGGGCTGGACCATGATCTTCCAATCTTTCTGCCCATCTCTGGTACCCGCATATCACCCTTTCTTTTGTTTTTCTAGAATACAACACGTTATAATGAACTATAGTCACCATGTTGTGCAATAGATCTCCTGAATTTATCCTCCTGTCCAACTGAAATTTTGTATCCTTTGACTCACATCCTCTCAAACCCCTCTCCACCAGCCCCTAAGAAGCACCACCCTACTTTCTGCTCCTGAGTTCAGCATTTTTAGTTTCCACATGTAAGTGAGATCATGCAATATTTATCTTTCTGTGCCTGGCTATTTCACTTAGCATAATGTCCTCCAGGTTCATCCATGTTCTCACAAGTGACAGGATTTCATTTTTAAGGCCTTTCTTTTTCAAGGCCAAATAGTATTCCATTGTGTAAATATACTACATTTTCTTTATCGATTCATCCTTTGGTGGATAGTTAGTTTGCTTCCACATCTTGGTTTTTGTGAATAGTGCCGCAGTGAACGTAGATAAGCAGATAGCTCTTTGACATACTGAGTCCATATCCTTTGGCTATATGCCCACTAGTGGGATTGCCGGATCCATATCACCCTTCTTGCCAGGACCTCCTGTGTCCCAGACAGTGATCACCCTTCTCTCTAATCCCTGTTAGCCCAGGCATGGCTGTGGCCCCAGAGTCTTGCCTCCTAGGGTGATGGGCATAGTGGGGGCTTGTTACTGGGACACAGACGCAGCAGCCTACTCAAGGCTATGTGGTTAGAGGGGCACAGACCAAGAGTGGGTCAGATCCCACACCCACCTAGGCTGTCCATCCTGGCCCAGACTGCATCCAAGAGGTGTGGTCAGACATGCACAGGCAGGTTTATTAAACATGGTGTTCTCTCCCCCAGCCTCCGCTTGTCTGTGCCACAACTGTGCCAGCCTGGGCCTCCTTTCCCTTCATGGTGAGGCAGCGCGTGGCAGCTCCAGCCCCACGCCAGGGAGCAAGCCCTCACGTGGGTTGATGTGGGTCACACACACACACCCCTGCCACCCTGGTCCATCACCGCAACAATCTGCCTCCTCTAATAATTGAGTCTTCAAAGACTCAAAGTCTTCAACTCAGAAGTTTGTCAATTGGGGACCCAGCTGGTGATTCTGTCTTTTAGCCCAGACATTGCCAGGCAAGTGATGATAACTGATGATAATTTACCTGAAATCAATTACCCAAATCAATTTTTGCCAAGATGGTCACAAATGGTCGTTATCTTACTCTATCATTTCTTTTAAATTTATTCATTAATATTCTCTTTTCTTTATTATCAGTATAGACTCATGGATTTTTATTTTATTCAATGTGTTATAATCCATTACTGTCATTATTTATTTTGATCCTCAAATTTTCCCAGATTTGGCCAGCAGAAGGTCCCTTCTGTGTCCCCATCCTTTTTTGAGCACTTCCTTACTTTCTGGCATCACAAGATGTTCCAGGTTCATCTTGTACAAACCTGGAATCAGCCATTTCTCCAAGGAGCCCTGGTTCCCTGGAGCAAGAAATGGTGTTTAGAATCTGAGACCTGGGCAGTAGCTGTGTTCCTCAATATTGGGGTGTCATTGTATTTAGCAAAGAGAGCTAGAAAATAAGTATGTAAAAAAATATATATATTTTTTGAGACAGAGTCTCACTCTGTTGCCTTGGCTAGAGTTCCATGGCATCAGCCTAGCTCACAGCAACCTCAAACTCCTGGGCTGAAGTAATTCTCCTGCCTCAGCCTCCCAAGTGCTGGGACTACAGGTGCTCGCCACAACGCCCAGCTAATTTTTTGTTTCTGTTTTTAGTTGGCCAGCTAATTTTTTCTATTTTTAGTAGAGAAGGGGGTCTCACTCTTGGTCAGGCTGGTCTCGAACTCCTGCCCTCAAGGGATCCTCCCACCTCGGCCTCCCAGAGTGGTAGGATTACAGGCGTGAGCCACCACACCCAGCCTGTATGTAAATCAATGACAAACACATCTATCTATTATCTATTTCTGCAATTCCAATCAAACACCACAGAGTTCTTCCATTCTTCCCCAATTCCATATTTCCTCAATTCTCAAACAGTAAGAACCTGGGTTTCCATCAACATCAGTATAGTTATTGCTCCATTCTACACAAAAAGGATTTTCAGAATTGCTATACCCAAACCATTGTGAAATTGTGAGAAGCAAACTTTCTAAGTAGAGGTCAGAGCTCCAGATTTATTTAATCCTTTTCTTTTTTTTTTTTTTTTTTTTTGAGACAGGGTCTCACTCTGATGCCCAGGCTAGAGTACAGTGACATAATTACGGCTCACTGCACACTTGAACTCATGGGCTCAAGTGATCTTCCCGTCTCAGCGTGCCGAGTAGCTGGGACCACAGGCATGCACACCATGCCCAGATAACTTTTTTATTTTTATAGAGACAAGGTCTCATTATGCTGTCCAGGCTGGTCTTGAACTCCTGGCCTCAAGCAATCCAGCCTTGGCCTCACATAATGCTGGAATTATAGGCATGAGCTACCTCGCCCAGCCCAGATTCATTTAATCTTATTCAACATTATCCTTTTCTCTTTAGACTGAAGGTCAATAGTCAAAATAATAGTTTGAATACAGGTTCAAATGTTACTTGGATCAGTTCTTTGTTTGTCTTCAGTGTGGTTATGTTATTCATTTGCAATACAGATAGGTTCACTTGTTTCTGTTTATATTCACTTTGGGGGGGTTTTCCCATCTTTGTTAATTTATTGTTTTCAATATGTAGAATATTAACATAGTTCAAAAGGTCCAAACTATACAAGGTGTGCTCAGAAGAGTCCTCCTGTCCCTTTCACTTCATTCCTGCCTGCTGGAAAAAGCTGATTTCTGGTTTATCCTTCCTGTGTTTCTTTTGCAAATTTTGCAATACACATGCTACAAAGTTTTTGTAATTTTTAGTTTATTTTAATGGCTTTGGAGGGAGCATGCACTCCGCAACCCACCGCAGTCCCCATCCCTCCCTGTTTCCTTCCCTAGTCCACTTTTCTCACTTGCTGTTCCCCCCTGGCCCTGCTGAGCTCTCCCCAGGCCCTGGTAGCTCAGGGGCAGCCCCAGGCTTGCAGGCCTGACTAGGCAAGGACCAAAACCTCAAAAACCCAGCTTCACCTCCTAGAGGCAAATGTCCATATTCGAGTTGTAGCCATAACAGGAAGAGGCGCCTTTGTGGACAGAGCTCTAGGAAGCAGTGACCTGGATTCCAAGTCAAACTCAGCTGTGTGATCTGGGACACATTTCTCCCCTCTCTGGACCCCAGTTTCTCTCATCTAAATAATGGAGAGTTGGACTGAATTCCAGCACAAAATGAGTGAAACCAGGAGATCTATGTCCTGGTCTCCGCTATCTAAATCTGCACAGATGCTGACTGTGTGCCTGTGATGGCTTCTGGGGGCACAAGCACAAGCAAGACCCAGACAAGGCCCCTGCTCTCATGGAGCTTGCATTCTAGTAAAACAGGCCTTAAACAAATGCATGCATAAATACGATATATAGCTTCGGGTAGGGAAAGTGCCAGGAAGCAAAATAAAACAGGGTAAAGGATCAGCATGGTGGGAAGGTGGAACAATTTTAGAAAAGATGGTCAATGAAAGCCTCTCTGGAGCAGAGACCTGAATTAAGTAAGAGAGAGCAAGTCAGGGACTGATCTGAGGGAAGGGTGTTCTGGCAGAAGGAACAGCAAGTGCAAAGATCCTGAAGTAGAAACTGGTTTGACAGGTAGGAGGAACAGCAAGCCAGTGCCGTGGTGGGAAGTGTGGTGGGCACGAAGGAGGGTGAGCTCAGAGAGGTTGGGGGAAGGCAGATAAGGAGGCCAGCTCACGTCACAGAGGAGCTGAGATTCTGTTCTGATGATAGGTAGCTCTTGGAAGATGAAAGCAGGATCATGTCCCCATCTGGTTGGTTTTTAAAGGGATCCCCTTCAGCCACTGTGTGGAGAGTGGGTGTGTACCAGCTAAGACCCAGTCACAAAACAGAAATTACCCTAAGTATTCCAGACAAGGGGAATTTGAGGCAGGGAAAGAAGTGAACTTCCAAATGGAAGATGATGAGGCAATCCAAAGATGAGCAGCAGCAGGAAGTCACTACCACCCTAAGGCTGGAGGGATAATGGAAGGAAATGGTGCTCTGATGCCCAGAGGCTAGGGTCACCCTGCAGGAGCTAGAACCACAGAGGGGGCTGCCTCAAGGGAGGCCCAGGCTGAGCATTAGAGGAGAAATACCCTAACTTCTTCCTTCCTCCCACCCTCCAGTCTAATGCTGGTAACTTCCGTTGCTGAACATGCCCAAAGCCAGTTGGCAAAGGAGCCTGGGAAGTACAGTTCCCAGGAGGGCAGAGTAACCCTGGGGAGGAGTGGGGAATGGGTCTGAGGCCTAACAGACAAATGACCAGCACGAGGTGCAGGAGCAGAGAAAGCTGAAATGGCCCAGGTGAGAGGTGGTGGCGGCTGGGACCCGAGTAGTGGTGTTGGTGGTGAGAAATGGCTGTATGCTAGAGATCTTGATGGATTGGATATGGGGTGAGGGGAAAGGGAGGCATTCTGAGATGGAGTTTTACTAAGATGGAGAAAACCCTGGGAGGAGCAGATTGGGGAGAGCTCGTGAGTCATAGTTATGTTTCGGACAGAGGAGGTTTGAGGTGCCGATTAGTCAAAGTACTGAGGGAGATGTTGAAGAGGCAGCTGGATTCAAGGAGATTCAAGGAGAAGGAAGGAGCTTCAGATACAAATGCAAGCTATCAGGGTGTAGCTACCAGGGGTTTTGCCATGGGATTGGGTGACTTCACCTGAGGGCACCACTGGTTACATGGCTTTCCCTGAGCCAACCACCCTGGGGTGGGGGCAGATGTCATACACTGATTGGTCAGGACTGGGGTTTGTGCCTCATCAAGAAAATGGAGAGTGAGAATCTTGTTCACTCAAACGGCATATCCTGAAAATTGGAGAGGGGTGGTTTCCCATTCTGTGTCAAGTTAATATTAGCTGAGCACCTATTATGTACCATGTCCTATGATTTTCCTTCACTTTTCCCAGCCTCCTTTCTTTCTGAGAGAACTGGCCCTCCTGGGGGCCAGAGTATACCTAAGGCTCTTCCTGCTCCAGCTCTTGCTTCACTGGTGCCTCAGTTTCCCTTTAGTACAAGGGCTAAATGATTACCCCCACTTATGACAGTGGGGCAGGGAGTAGATGGGGCCACTTCCCACCACTGGGAAAGGTAGAGCAGAGTCTGGCTGACTCCAAAGCCCACACTCTAACCATCTCAGTCTGGGCTCCTGGCCAGTGCCTACTATGCCCCCAACCACCACCACTCCAGGAGCACCCCCAGGCTCTTCCACAGCAGAGCCTCCAGCCTACAGCTGGCAGCTGCTAGGACCCAGGGGGCTGGCGCCAGGCCCTGCCCCTCCCTTGCCAGCCCTGTGTGTCTCCAAAGGGCAACATCAGAGTGACAGTCAGTACCATCTCCGACAGGGACTGAGTTGCTGGAGCTGGGCTGGGGCAAGGGAGAGAGCTGGCAGGCTCAGCCTTGCACCCTTCCATGGGGCTGGCCAAGCCCCCAAGATAATGGCAGGCTGGGCGTCGGAGTCACCCCCTGGGCAGCCAATGAGGTGAGGGGCCAGAGGAGCAAGGGACAGGTGATGGGAATCCTGGAGCTGTAGGCTGCACTTTGCTCTTTGCATCCCAGCACAGGGTGAAACCTGAGCGCTCCAATGGCCAACACCACAGAGCCGAACGTCTCAGAAGTTGCAGGCTCAATCGGGTTGATCCTGGCGGCTGTCGTGGAAGTGGGGGCACTGCTGGGCAACGGCGCAGTGCTGGTCGTGGTGCTGCGCACGCCAGGACTGCGCGACGCGCTCTACCTGGTGCACCTGTGCGTCGTGGACCTGCTGGCGGCCGCCTCCATCATGCCGCTGGGCCTAGTGGCCGCGCCACCGCCCGGGCTGGGCCGCGTACGCCTGGGACCCGCGTCGTGCCGCGCCGCGCGCTTCCTCTCCGCTGCGCTGCTGCCCGCCTGCACGCTCGGCGTGGCCGCACTTGGCCTAGCGCGCTACCGCCTCATAGTGCACCCGCTGCGGCCGGGCTCGCGGCCGCCGCCGGTGCTCGTGCTCACCACCGTGTGGGCCGCCGCCGGGCTGCTGGGCGCGCTCTCCTTGCTCGGGCCGCCGCCCGCACCGCCCCCTGCTCCGGCTCGCTGCTCCGTCCTGGCCGGGGGCCTCGGACCCTTCCGACCGCTCTGGGCACTGCTGGCCTTCGCGCTGCCCGCCCTGCTGCTGCTCGGCGCCTACGGCAGCATCTTCGTTGTGGCGCGCCGCGCCGCCCTTCGCCCTCCGCGGCCAGCGCGCGGGGCCCGGCTACGCTCCGACTCTCTGGATAGCCGCCTGTCCATCCTGCCGCCCCTCCGGCCTCGCTTGCCCGGGGGCAAAGCGGCCCTGGCCCCAGCGCTGGCCGTGGGCCAATTTGCAGCCTGCTGGCTGCCTTATGGTTGCGCGTGCCTGGCGCCCGCAGCGCGGGCCGCAGAGGCGGAGGCAGCTGTCACCTGGGTAGCCTACTCAGCCTTCGCGGCTCACCCCTTCCTGTATGGCCTGCTGCAGCGCCCGGTGCGCTTGGCTCTGCGCCGCCTTACCCGCCGCGCGCTGCCTAGGCCTCCGCGGGCTTGTACTCCGCAGGCCTGGCACCCGCGGGCACTCCTGAAGTGCCTCCAGGGACCCCCAGAGGGCCCTGCCTTAGGCCCTTCTGAGGCACCAGAACAGGCCGCAGAGTTGGCAGGAGGGCGGAGCCTGAGTATGCCAGGGGCCACCTGAGAGCTCCCTCCTGAGCTGGAGAAAGGAGGGTGGTTTCAGAGAGGGGCCCAACCAGCCCCCTGCACAGGGGCAACAGGTGCCTGCCAGGACTTCTGGCTCTGCAACAGGAGAAAGGGTGCCTGCAGCCTGGTGAGGCCCAAGGCTTCTGAGAGCCAGGAATCCTGGGATCTGGGCCCAACACTGCATGGTCTTGTGCAGACCTATGCTTCCTTAGGCCTCAGTTTTCCCATCTGTGCACAGCACCATCTCTAAGGGCCCACCAGCATAGATGGTTTGTGAAACTCATGGATGGTCCCCAGGCCAAGGGAAGAGAGAAAGTGGGCAGGGTCACAGAGAAGATAGCCTTAAGGGCTCACAAAGTGATGGGCCAAGTAGGGCAGGGTCTGGGTTATAACAGTAGGAGGAACCAGTGGAGAGACTCAGAAGGACTTCTCTGACATCTGCACCACGGAGAGGCTGGACAAAGCAACTGAAACTCCTCCATCTGCTTCTAAAATGCCCAGAAAACAACCGGATCAATTTGGTGCTAGAAGCAGCAGGCTGGATGACTTGACCCGCAAAGGGCCCTGAAGCCCCAGAACTGGTGTGTGGAAGGGGCTGAGGTCCAACTGGGGTTGGTGGATTCACAGATGGAGGTCCTCTAGACCCAGCTGCACCCATTTTCTGGAGGTTTTGCTACCCCCAACACCAGTATTTTACAACTTCCTGGTCGCTGAGAATATTTATTCAAAAACAGGGATTGAAAAAACTGTACAGAGTGTCTGCTGCTGAGAACTGGGCCCCTGCCCCCATGCCACTCCCCCAGCTACCCGGCAGTGCCCCCTCTTGGGGCACCCCCTGACAAGCCCAGCCAGTCCATTCCAGTCAAAAGGGTATCAGTGGAAGCAGCAGGAATCTGCAGGTGGTGGGGAGAGAAGCGTGGCCCCAGCCACCCCCAGCCCTCCTCCCTGACTCCCACAGGGGCACAGTAGGCCGGGAAGCCCTAAGGGATGGGAAGTGCATGAGTGACACCCCCCTGTGGTGGGGTCACTAGCGAGGCCCCTGGCTGCTCCCTATATCCAAGCACAGAGCTGAGGGGTGGGGCCCCCTGCCCTGGGACTGCCGTGGCTCTGAGAACCCTGGGCCAGAAACTGCCGCCACTCTGAGAGGAGGAACTCCCATAGACCGAGGCAGGGTAGGGGGTGCATCCATGCTTCTGGGCATTAGCGGCGCTTGGGACCCCAGGGTGGAGTCTCCTCGGGCCGGCAGGGTGAGGAGGCAGCCCCCTGCCGGTGGTCTTGCCTGCCCCTGCCTGTGCCTCAGCCAGCCTCAGTAGGGTGAGAATTTCTGCCGCTCAGCCTTCTTGCTCCCATTGGCCGCTGCCATCTTGGCAGTGTAGGCCGCCAAGCCCGGAGGCGGCCCTGGAGAGGCAGGTGGTAGAGCCAAGAAGGGCACGGGTTTGAGGCCGATGAAGTTGGAGAGGGAGATGGCATAGGGTGTGCCCAGCAGGCCTGGGGGAGCTGTGGGCAGGGCTGTCAGGGGTGGTGAGAAGGGGGTGGGCAGGTCTGCGGGGGCCGAACCAGGCGTCCCCCCAGAGGTAGACTTGGCCGTCTCTAGACTGGAGAGAGGGGAGATGAAGGGGAAAGTAGAAGTGAGAGTCGGGCAATGGGAGCAGATACAGGGCGTGAGATCAGACGAAAGACAGGAGACAGGAACTGAAGGGTGAACAATGACATGGGGTGAATATGTTTGGGGGGAAGGTGAGGATGGGAAGAAAGGACAAGCAGACACAGTAAGGGGTGGATGGAGATGTGGACAGGCCAAAGAAACAGCAATGGGGAAAGAGGACGTGAGGGATAGAGGGAGAAGGTGGGAAAATGGGTGAGTTAGGTAGAAGACCATGGGGAAATGGCACGGGGCTAGGGAGGCAGAGGACGGGCCCAGACAGAGAAAGGAGGCCAGCTCTCCCCACCCACCCCTCCCTTTCTTGGGCACATGAGCCGCATGACCTGTTCCACCCCCACCGCCCACCCCAGGCTCACCAGGCAGTGATGAGGTACTGGGCCAGGGCGATGGAGACCGGAGAACCAGTGATGGTCACGTGCCGCTCGCCAGCGCCCTCTGCTTGGTTCCCAATCTTGATATGTGCCCCTGACATCTGCCTGATCTCGCTGATCTTGCTGCCCTGGCGCCCGATCACGCAGCCAATCAGCTAGGGGGAAGGCAGAATTCAAACCCTGGGCAAGGCCCAGATCCCCGGGCCCCCTACCCACCCTACAGCCACCCCATCCCCTGCTCACGTCATTGGGAACCAAGAACTCCTGTGAGCTGGTCTGTGTGCCGGGATCCAGTCCTGAGTGGGAGAAGAAGGATTGAGTGTGACTCTGGGCCTTTCCCGTACGCCCATTTCCATTCCCTCTGGAAGGGTGGGGGGCTGCCCTTTTGGGATCTGCCTCTGCCTCCTCCTGCAGGGGCTGCTCACCTGGCACCACACTGGGAGAGGCAAAGGGGACTGCATGGCCCGAGAGCTGCTGGAGCTTGGTGACCTGTGCCAAAGAAGAGGGGTAGGAGGTCAGAGGAGTTTTGGTTTCAGAAGGGGTGCCTTGGGCTGTAGGTCACTCACCTCAGCTGGGGTCACAGTCCCATACTGACCCTGGACAGAGAAGCCCTATAGGGACAAAGTAGGTGAAAAGGGGGTTACTGTGATAGGTCAGGGCAGTTCAGCCAAAGTCACTCCTTCCCCCGTCCCTGGACCCCCAATTCCTTCTTCCCTGCCCTCCTCCATCTCCAGGAATGTTTCCCACCACTCCGCTGTTCCCCTCACCTGGTTGGCAGAGAGAAGGACTGTACCTAGGGAGAGGCTGGGATGATATGGGATAGTGGCTCCTTTGGGTGGGGACTGGAAGGCATAAATGGGGAGGCTCTGTCAGGACCCTCTCCGGCCGACTAACCTCCCCAGGTGCCCAGGTAGCCTCAAGGCCCTCATGACCCTCAGGTAAATGCATCCCTGCAGCCCCACCCTGCCCCACCTGGTGTCGCATGCATAGAGTTTGGGGTGCCTCACAAGGCAGGACCAGGGCCCATCTCCTGCCCCCTCACTCCCTGCCCCAGGGCAGCACCTCCAGGATAACAGCACAGATCTGGCGCACACACAGGATGATGGCATCGGGCACCCCAGACACAGTAACAGCACGTTCTGTGGAGTTAGGGAGCAGGTCCCCTGCCACTTGTACCTGGGCACCTGTAGTCTGCAAACAGAGAATGGGGGCTACTTCTGGCCGCTCCCATGGCCCAGAGAAGAGCCACCCAGGTTCAGAGCTTCCCAGGGGGTAGGAAGCCATAAGTCCAGTTCCCCTCTCACCGCTGGAGGGTGTGGCTCCCTCTGGGTCGTATCCCTCTCCCCTCACCTCTCTGATCTCCTTGATCTTGGTGCCAGCCTTCCCAATCAGTGAGCCACACTGGCTGGCAGGGATGACAAGGCGCAGAGTCACTGGAGGCCTGGAGACATTCCCACCATTTGCAGGAGCGGCACAAAGGTCCTAGGGCAGGGAGACGGTGGGTTGGCTGTGCACACCCCTGCTACAACCCGCCCCTCCTCAAGCACCTTCCTGCTGAGGGATGAGTAGGGTACCCCTTCCCCAGTCCCAGCCCAAGGGAACACTGCCCTGGGCTTGTCCTCCCCTCCTCCCTCAGCCACTATCTGGAGTCGGAGTCATGTTCCTCCCAGGGAACCACCCCAGGTCTCCCACCCCGTCGAGCCACAGACCTCATCCAGCTTGAAAGCGATCATAGAGACCGCATGGAAGACAGCTGCTGTAGACCCGGTGATGGTGGTGATACGCTCGGGGCAGGAGCCCTCGGAGATGGTGATCCGGGCACTGCTCTGCAGGTACAGAACGAGGGCCGGGCAGTGGGGCATCTTCGCTGCTCCCTCACCAGGCCCCAGCCAAGGCTGAAAACCACCACCCTCTGGGGCACTCACTGGTCAGCCCAGATGGAGTGGTTCAGGGAGAAGGTGGGGCAGGGATCTCCCCTTCACATCAGGTGCCCTGGGCTCCTCCCCCACACTCCATCCTCACCTGCTCCCGGATTCGCTTTACGGTCTCACCCTTCTGTAGAAGACAAAGCAGAATCACTCTTAACCGGAGCAGCCATCACTTCCTTTCCTGGGCTAAGGCCTCAGGTGGAGGGGGACGTACAGAGCAGAACTGGCACTTACCTTCCCGATTATGCTGCCCACCTCCTGCAAACAAGACGAGAGTGGTCAGATGGGCACCAGTGCCCCAGGCCTGGCCCCCCACCCAGGCAGGGGCTGCACAGAAGACAGGACACCTGAGATCATATTCATACTGTCCCAGCCTTGCCTTGCCCTCCACGCCCTCCTACCCACTCACCTTCCCATGCATCAGCATCCGCAGCGTGAGGGTGATGCTGAGCTCTGGTTCCTCCTCCAGCCCCGCATCTGAGCCACTCATCCTGTCAGGCGGGGCTGGGGCCACAGTGACCTGGGAGTGTGTCCACGCTGTGGCCTGGCCGGCTCTGGCAGAGGCAGTGAAAGAGGAGTTAGAGAGGAGCCCAGTTCATTCTGCCTCTGTCCTCATGTGGGGACCCCAGAGCCAGGCTAGCCAAACTCCCAGAGAAAGGAGACTGCATGGACCTCGAACTCTAAATGTCTCTCTGGCCAATGTGCCTGTGTGTGTCCACTAGCTGTATAACCCAGGAGAGGTCATGTAACCCTTCTGAGCCTCAGTTTCCTCATCTGTAAAAGGGGATACCGATTCCTATCCCCAAAGAGTTATAAGAATTAAAGTGAAATAAGCACTACATGGTAGGTAGCTAGGCCCCATGAGTATCCTTCCCTTCTGTTACATTAAAAGAAAAAATTAACTAGAAAGACCATGAGAGCCCAGAGAGGAAAGCCTCCTCCCTAACCTCTTGGGAGAGGGGACCTCTGTGGATCAGGCCTTGAAGGTGGACTTAAAGGCAAAAGATTATTCCAAGCAAGAGAAGGTCAAGTCCAGGGCCCAGAGCACCCGCTGGTTACAGTATGGAGCAGCAGCTGGAGAGGAAGTTGGAGCAGCCATGGGAGGTCTTGTAAGGAGGGTGGTCTCAAAAATGATAAGGCTTTAGGAGGAGCCCTCTTTCCCCCTGCCTTCTCCAAGCCTGGCAAAGACTTGAGGTAGGTATTGGGAGCTCCTCCACCAGAGGCCCCATCTACTAGAGGTCACTAGAGGACAGGACCCCTGCAGACAGCTCTGGGCAGGATTCATTCAGTATTGGGCTGTGGGGCAGGGGATGGGGTGTCAGGGGACCAGCAGTCTGCACAGTGGTTTCCAGTCTCTCTCCTACGTGCCGAGAATGGCCCTGGGAACAGGAGGTAAGAAGTGTCCAGGTTGGCCACATTCCCAGCCTGGAACACTTTCTACTGTACCAGAAACAAGTCACTTGGACTCTGAATCTAATTTCCTCACTCATAAAATGGAGGGAACACCTCTCCCTGGACCTGGGTGATGGGTAAGAAAGGCATTGGGCTGCAGGAATGTCAAGGCCATTAACTGATGGAGGAAGGCGGAGCCTGAGATTAGCTGCTGGGATTAGTTCAGCCGCCAGCCCTCCCCACCCGACCCCTTTTCATGCCCTGACTTAATCCTGAACCTTAATCCTGCTTGGAAATCCCTCTCCTTCAGCGGCTGTCTCCTGCCATGGCTGAGCCTTGATGGAGAGCTCAATGGGGGACCAGAACCCGAGGAGGAAAAGAGGGAGTGGGACCAACT